AACTTGGGTTTAGTATAACACATCTAACTTAATTTCTCTCTTATCAGTGATTAGCAACATCATATTAAAACTTTACACTCTCAGGGATTAGCACAAGGATTAGTGTATAGGTCTGTTCACTCAGGCTATATTGAACCCAAATCGGTTTTAAAACAGTGTATTTTCTACGATTTTTTCCACTGATTCCGGGCTCTATCCATAAGTTATATGAAAGTATAACTAATGTGTTAAAATACATCGAGTAGTTTAACACTATATTATAAGAACTTTTTCTAATACACAGTACGGGAGGCCCTATAGTACAGGTGAGCAGTCGTCTCCTAATTGACGTCCGACTCTTATGGACAGTCCTACTACTCGTGTGCGTCAAACACGTGGAAAATATGGGATACTTTGTGGCGCCCGTATGTGTCGATTGGCATTTGGTTTTAAAAATAAATTTAATTGACGTCTGTGTAGTAATGATTATTTGCTAATTAAAATTAACATCACGTATATAACAATCTAGTTTGCAAAATGTTTTTTCACTAATTCATAAATTTTTGTATTCAATTACTAAATTAATATATATTTCAAATAATTAAAATTGCGTAACAATTTATTTCGTTAACAAATAAAATTTAAACAAAAACCTATGAAAAGATTATACCAAAAATTCAAATATTATAAGTAATGACAAATATTTTTTGTCTGAAATGAACCAGTCCCAATAAATTTCATAACTTTCCCATTGAAATGTATAGCGCGAGTAAAACATGTTAAATTTTTCAAGTTATTTGCGTCTGAAATTGTATTTAAAAATAGTTTACTAACTTAACATCCGGTTTATAATTACATTATACCTACGCACACATAATTAATTATGTATTAAAAATATATTTATAAATTATCATTAAGTTCAAATACTCACTTAGAAAGTTAATAAAAATTAAATACTCTTTGTAACTTTTAAGTAAATTAAATAGATAAATTGAAATAAGTTAAACAATTAAACGTAAAATGTAGTAATATTTTATTGTTAAATTTTTATTACAATTTATTTATTAATTTTAAAATCTATTACTAAAAATTAAATAAGAATTTATTTCATTAACAAATAAAATTCAAACCAAAAAACATTAATATATTAACTTATAATTATTAAAATGATAATAAAATGTATGATTTATGTAAAAAATATTACAATAATTTTAATACAATTTGTTAATTATTATTATTAATTATTATTATTATTTCATTAATTATAATTGAAAGACAATTAAATGTTTTATACAATTGTTTTTCGCCATAAAAGTTAAAGTAATTATAAAAAACATGAGAAAAAATTAATTAAAATTCAAAACAAATTAAATAATGAAATAAATTAAAAACACATTTTGAAAAAACTCGTATAAAAATCAAATCCACAAAAATATTTAAGTTTTGTTTTGTTTTGACTAAAAAATTTCATTCAATTAAAAAAGACTTTTCTATTCATTAAAAACTCCGTTTGAAAAATGGGTCTAAAAATAGGGTATCTCTTAGGTTAAGGTTTACACAATTATGACATACCTGTGCCGCTATAGCACAGGTATTTAGACATTAAAAACTAATACACATAGACAAAGAGTATATGAAATACAGGTGCGATTCAGTGGTTAGGAATCCCGTGTGAGGGACGGTATGGCAATTGACCACTACTTGCATGATTTGAATGGCCATTAGGATTGTCTGACATACAGGTGCCCTCAAAAGGTCTCGGCGTCGGGACAGTGCTCTGTGTTGTGTCCAAACTTCTCGCACTGTAGACAATAGGGCCGGTGCTCTGTGCGGGAGGCCCTGTAGTACGAGTGGGCAGTCGTCTCCTGATAGGCGTCCGACTGTTGCGGACAGTCCTCCGTCTCGTGTGAGTCAAACACATCGCAAATGTCGCAGAATTTTCGCGGCGCCCGTATGTGTCCGTTAGTACGGCGAGGAGTAGTGGGGCTACCGTTCCCTCCGTTGGTCACCGTTTGGTGGAAACTCGAGTCAAATTCGTCCAAACCTAACGGTGCGATTGAATTGAGAAAATGTTATTAATAAACAGATTATAAGACACATTGAATGCTATGTTTGTAATAAAGGGGTCATTCATTAGTGTTAAATATGTGCACGGGGCAGATAATTGACATAGCTAATATAAATTATACAAATTTACTTATGTAGAATGAATACATGAATACATATCCATATAAATGTATTTCCCGAATGACCACTTACTATACAAACAGTGGATATCCCTATAATACATACCGATCTCCTCGAGCACCTGTACCCGACACCGGAGCTCATCATTCTTTTTCTGCATATCCACTATAACTGAGTTTAAGAACTCGATCTGTTGTTCGTAACCATCGCTACCCTCCCGTCCCGGTGAGGGCGACCTATCGCGGCGCCGGGCGTTCTCCAGAATAGACTCGCGGACTCTAACCTCCAGTTCATTGAGTGTGGCCTCCAGTTGTCGCTTCTCCACATCGGCCTGACGTCTGAACACATCGATCGCCACCTGTTGCTGCTCTTCCACGTCACGGAGCTGTCGTTCCCTATCGTCGGCCAACTGGGCGGCCGACTCGGCTTTGCCCGACAGGCGCTCGCACTCGTACTCGAACTCCTGGAGCACTTCCCGGTGCCGTTTGTCCAGAGCTGTCGTATGTGTGTATAGTATTTGTGAATACCATTGATATGTGTTTGCGTTGATTATGTGTATAAGGGGTGCGCGGGATATGTATCGGGAAATAGGGTATAGAAATCATAATTAAATTAAAAATTCAAAAACTTAAAACCTTTTTGTTAGTTATGTGTGAAAAATATTTATCAAAAAAATGTTTGTTTAAATAAATAAAAGAGTTTTGACAAATATTTTTTGCAAAAGTAATGCAAATCTTAATGAAAAATAAATTAAAAGTAAATTAAATGAAAACAAATTAATAGAAAACAGAAATAATAGCGAAAAGCATTGCATTAATGAGTCGATAGGCTATGATAACGGCTATAAAGCAGAGGCCAGTCGTTAGTAAAGTAGTGTTATTTAGTATAGACGGCGGAGTAGTGGTTGTGGTGGTAATGGTGGCCGAGGGACTGGTAGTCTGTGAGCCGGCAGTAGTAGTATTATTAGTATTTTCTGCATAAAAAATAAGTACACCATATGACTGATGGGAGAGAGAGAAAATATGGCATAAGATATAGCATTGAGAAAGCACCAGGAGGTTATTTTAAAGGCCCACTCACAGGGATATTATAATATGCACTGGGTTCATAATTAGCAGGGTAGTTTATTAGTATGTGTGAGTTAAAGTTAAAATTAACGGGTAGTTTCTCAATAATAATAGTAATAAAATAATAATTAATAGACATGCTAATATAAATAATAATAATATACTTGTAGAATATTTAAATAAAACAACTAAAATTAAATAACTCATAGATAATAAATAAATTAAAATCAAATAATTAACATTTATAGTGAACTCCCGTTATAATAAACTAGTTAAACAGTACAGTAATATAGATTGTGTTTTGTATGTATTACTAATTTTTAACTAAAATATACAGAATATTCTGTAACATTAAAAACACTAAATGTTTTGTATAATTATAACGAGAGTTAACTACACATCAATGCATCACAAATACAGGGGAACGGGATGTATGCGATGAGCACATGTAGCCACAAACAAAACCGATGCCTACCCTCGATATCATCGCGCAATTCCTCGACTTTCTGTCGGAGGTGTCGGTTGTCGTCTTTGAGGGACTGGTTCTCGTCCTCCACGTCGTGACACTGTTTGCGCTGTCGGTCCAAATCGGTGCCCAACTCCTGGAGAGCGCCGGTAGTCTCGGCCGTGTCGGCCAACTTCTTCTCCAAATCGCACCGGTATTTGTCGAACTCCTCCCTCATTTGCTTCACGTCCTCCCGGAGCGAGTCTATCACATCCTGTTTGTCCGTACAGGCCTTCTCCAGG